ACCTGGCTGAGCTGCACTATAGATCCCCCATTCAGTACACACCCACACACCCTACAGGCACCCTTCTTCCTCCTCAACTTATGATTTCATTGGTCAGAGACGTTTTTAGTGTCTTTCTAACACTTTTTTGGTGTATATGGATATATGCTCAAATAAATTGTTGTATAGTATTTGAATGAATGGTGAAAAATATATTTGCCCTTAGAATCATGTGCACTAATAAGAAATGCTATAAAGAGAATGCCTTTAAGAAATCTGGTGAGCCTCAAACATTTTTAAAATACTTTTATATGGTATATATTTATAAATTTAGTATGCATAAATAAATAAAACATCTGTAAATAATATACAAAATGTTCATAATAGAAAATTATAAATTATGTTACCATATTCTATTATATATTTAGATTTTATTTATATAAAGTTTAAATATTTATATTTTGATAGTTCAATAATTATATTCTAAATATATTTTATGTTAATTATACATTTAGGTTTTAATTATATATTAAAATGTAAATATGCACACATTTTAATGATTCAATAATTCTGAATATATAAACTTGAGGTTGGTTATATTTATTTTATATAAAACAAAGTTATTCCTAAGTGCTTTTATGTTTACATAAACATATAAAATACAAAAACATCTAAAATTTTATTGAAGCTGATTAGAACCACTAAGGGCATTCTCTTTATAAGATTTCTTATTAGTGCACATGATTCTAAGAGCAAATATGTTTTTTACCATTCATTCAAATGCCATATAAAATTTATACTTGCAAGGGTTCTTTATATTTATGAACAACATTTTATATTTGATGGTCACCCACTAACATGCATGCACCAGCAGGTCCCACCTACTGCAACTGGCAGTGAAAAAGCCAGTAGCCAGTGCCTAACAGGTAGTACGTGTGCTTTGAACCTGAGACCCACACACTGTCACTGTGCCCAGACACCCCTAGAGCACCTGACTGGGCTGCTGGCTACACCTGTGGACCCCAGCCTGGGGTTGCCATGGATCCCCACGCAGAGTCTGCAGAGAGGCACGGCTACATGAAGATAGTCTCTGCCCTGGTGCAGCAGGGATGAAAACGATTACCCGGGAGTCAGTGAATACTGGGGAGAATTAGCTGTATGGTCAGTGCCTGGATGGTGACAGGTGCCAGGGTCATGATCAAGGTGAGGAGAGTAAGGCACGGCTGGTTTTGCAGGTGGAGGGTCAGATCCTAGCTTTACGTTTGTGTTAATGTGTTCATAACAATAATACTTTGGATTTTTAAAAATCATGCAAAAAGTGTCATTTTTCCGGAATCCTGAGTTTTTGGTGCCCCTTAAATTTAGCGTGGAGGGAAGACCATCCCTAAAGCAAGGACTCAATCTGGATACTACACAGTAATATACTAGGGGGGAGGTATTGTGGGTTGAGTATTTAAAAGCAATCATGTAATATGTTGAAATAACAATGTTGTCATGCAAAAACTTCATAAGACTGTCTGTCAATGATACCTTAATTAAAAAAATACGTAATAAAAAAATAAAAGCAATTATTAACTGACCATGGTGTATTTAATTTCATCTACAACTTCATATGCTGAATGTCTGTGGTTTTCTCTGCTCAGAAAGAAGCTTGCAAGATGAATGCATGTGACTGAAACCAGCATGCAGGTCAGTATAAGTGAAAAGAATATTGAGCAAAAAAGAATTAGCCATGTTTGGAAAATAAGTTTTGAACCTTAGGTCTTTGTGGGTGGAAAATGGGATATGCAAAACCCAGCTTGTAGGAATTCCCCACTACCAGAGAACTTGATTTCCTAAAGGAAAAAGTACTAAGTATATATATATATATATAT